AAATGAAAAGAACTGAACATAAAACTGGGGAAAAATGTTGAGGGATGCAAGGGCAGTCATCCGAGAAACGAAGCTCAAAATGCTCTTTTTTAATCGTTTTATTTATTTTATGTAAATAGTTCTCAGAAAGAGACGAAAAACTTTCCTAAAATAACAGATTAAGTAGTTTTATCTACTAAATAAATTAAATATAAAAACTTTCAATAAAACAATAGATTAGCTACTTTGCATACTTAAAATGCAAATATATATATTGTTTAATATGCTCGTATCATAGTTTATCATAGTCGATTATAGCTTAGATTAATCAACTTTTCATACAACAATGTTAATCATTTTAACTTAACGATCTTCTTGATGTTCAATCTGTGCAAACCAAAAAGCCACAAACTAATCCTGTTTATTGACATGTTTATATACTGATCATTGCTTTGACAGCTATATGATATACCTTAAGTAATTCTATACCATAAGTTAACTTCATAATAATCTTCTACATTATTGTGATTCAATCTCAACAAGATTTTTAAAGTACTTTAAACTACGAAACTTCTCTCAAAAATGCAACTTCAGCTTCTGAATTTATCTTCAGGGTTTTTTCATGACGATGATGACTCAGTTCTAGTTTTTGTTCTCCAGCAAACAGGAAGGCAAACCCGCTGGTTTATAAATTAACTGGCTACTATTAAGATTGCAATCAAACGAAACAATTATAATAAAAGATTCGCCACCTTCTCAAGCAATTAAGACGAAGAACTTGAATGATTTAAGCTTTCGGCTTCTTCGAATTAATTACCAAGTCATGATCGTTTTTTTGGAGTGTACAGAAATGGAAAGTCAGCTGCAACAAAGTTGGCGACACACAAAGAACAAGAACTTCCCTAAAAAAGCAGACAAGGAGGGCGATGATGATGCACCAGATGAGTCAGAAACCAATCTGGAAATTCGAAAACCAATATCAAAGGGCTACTTTTTCCAGCTAATGAAAGCATTATGCTGATATTTAGTGGGTAAAGATGAATCAGAAGTAAGGTAAACTTGGTCTGAGTTCCACTATTATAGAAATCCTTCAGATGAATCAGAAAGAAGGAACTAAGTCAAAGGCAGACTTCTCCAGCTAATGAAATGATTATGCTGGCTCTATTTACTATAATTATGGAACGGCTTATTAATGGAGCTCGGATTCGGGTGGTGAATCTCGTCGGGTTCGGGTTTAGTGGGCTCTCTGCGTGATGATCTCATCGATTGCATCAGATTTCGCACGTCATGTCGTTTTATGTGGCCCGCAAATTTCTGTTCTCATTTCAGCTGCCCCTTTTTTTGGTGTGTGTTTTTTAATGTGCAAAAGACATATGCAGAATATTCAAAATTAGATGTTAGCACGCCAACAGCCAACGCCATCCAACGCTATCAACTTCAATGCGAATCAACGCTTTTAAGGCGAGCCAACAAAAAACGAAAAAAAAACACAAAATTTTTCATGGTCAATGCCATGAAATTGGTTGCAATGGACGCTTGACTGACATTCGTTGACAGCCGAGAAATAAACTCAGATATATGTATATATATTTAGGAGGCCCCAGACACATAACTCCCGCACAGGTACCCTCGAAAAAAAATCACTGCGTGTGCAGCAAATTGATTGATCTACACACCAATGCTGCTGCCGACTGTGGCGAATCAATCAATTGACAAAAATTGAGAGACCACAAACATATATACAGATATATAAACCCACTTAATTTGCCTCATTTTCTTGCCCCGCCGCTTGACATCTCTATTCGAAGAAACCAAAAAAGCATTCTTGGGCGTTGTCTGGCGACAGCTTTTGTGCGATCCAGATACAAGCCATAAATAATGGGATTTACATTTGAATTTGTAACTGTTCAGCATCTATTAGTATCTGAATATATCACGCTCTGAAATGATCCGGTCTAAAGCCAGTTTTAATCCCTTCCCTTTCGCCAGTAATGAGACTTTTTCCCACTTCAGCACTGACCTCTCGTTACAGTCTGAGCGTTGAATTTTGAATTTGAATTTGTTTTTATTTCGCGTATTTTCCTTTTGCATTTCAAGTGGTTCGAGGTTCGAGTGACGTCAGCCGAAATGAGTACGAATCAGAGAATTTACAAAAACAAATTATGGAATTATCTAAAAACAAAGTAGTAAATACATTTTGTAGAACTAATAAAAATATTTGACAAATGTTTGCTTCAAATTTTGTATATTAAAAAGTTGAGTTTATCTTTCAAAAAACAACTTATTGCTCTTAAAACCATCTTTAAAATTACTAAAAACAATATATATAAATTTGAATTATATTTTCAAACTTTTATAGTAAACACAAAATTTTGAATTTTGTAATTCGTATTATCTCTTAAGACTGGAAAGTAACAAAAAACAAGCTTTTTTGGTTTAGCAACAATGTTACAAATTTTCAAATAAATTGAGACTGCATTCGTTAAACAAACAATAATATCTCTGCACCGGCTGAGAACAGCGATTATGGCTTGCCAAAGATATCTTATCAATGAAATTTCAGCACGTTACGTAGACCCAGGGCGAAAATTCGACTCAATTTCGATTAGTCAGAGACCAGAAAAAAACAGACGGAAATAAATCGGGGCGCAAAGGTGATGGAGTAACGGAAATCACAATATAGAACTCAGGTGAAATCATTACGACAGATCGAGAAGAACGCGATGACAGGGCTATTTATTTGGTCGAACATTGATGATCAGAACATATAGGTATAGGCTATATGCTATACCCAGATCAAGTACATATATATTTTATTGAACAATGCACAAACAAACAAACAAAGAGAAGGCCAAAATGTTTATGTTTTTAACCCGCCTCGACGGCAACGCAACACATTTGGGGTCGATTAATGGAAACACAGGAAGTTTGGCCAATAGCCGAGAGCTGTTAAATCGTCTGGTTTTTGGCTAAATCTATATCTATATGTCTGCTGTAAGTTCAGATCACTCATTCACTTACCTTCTCAGCAAATTCCTCCCGCGGACGACGCGAAATCGTCGGTGTGTCACTCATGAGCTCCTTGGTCGGCGATGGTGTCATTATACCAATTATTATGTCTCCCCTCGTCGTCGTTTATCGCTTATGAATTGCACTTGCGGCTATTAGTTCTAGTTGGAAAAACTCCTCTTTTCGTATTGCTTTCGGTTAGTTACACTTTTATTTTCTTTTTGTATTTCTTGTGGCTCTATACTTTTTACTTTTGAGATTTGATTGGTTTGCGTGCTGCGGAGTAAATTAAATTTATAACAACATTTTATCAGTCGACCAATTCGCTGGCATTTCGCCTTTGGTCTATAAACAAATTATTACGTAGCCGTTGAAAAATGTCGCTAGCGTGAAACCTTTTTGTTGCCACTTCACTTTTGTTTTGGCCTTTTATTAATTGCCGGGGCAGGGGCGTTGATATTTATATAAGTTAATGTCGTTTTGGGGTCTAATATTGAATTTAGGAAATATGTTTTTTTACTGTTTATAATTATGCCACCTAAAAGTTAGCTCTTTTTTGGAAGTTGTAAATACTTTTATATATGTTTTTAATATAAAATGAGTGATTTTATGTTCATTACTTAACTAAAAGTTTAAAAAGTAAAAATAATACATTTAGAGGTATTTTACAAAGCCGATTAAATCGTTAGCCGTATTTGCTACTAACCGGATTGTAAAACGATTTACTTTAATTGAAATTTATTTGATATTTATGATAAGCAAATAAGCTAGACTTGAGAACTAAACCTGCGGGGGCGTACTTAAACTGGCTTTATTGGTAATATGGCTTACCAATTACAGTTACAATTTGAAAAACGTTAATGAGTCTGAAAGTTGGGATCATATGCAAAGAATGTTGTCATTTGACTATTTTTAGAGGTAAACGTCACTAACAAAAAAAACACGAAAAAAAGGTGAACCGGAACGCTAGCACAAGAATGTCGTCGTTGTTTTTGTTGTTGTTGTTGTTGCTGCTGCTGAACGTTGATTGACCCCGAATATGAGGGAGAAGAAGAAGCAAAGCCGGCCGGCCAATTAATTGAGTTTTATTATTTTATCTATTTATCTCCTGCATTTATCTATCTCGATTACAGTTTATTTTCGTTAAGTTTCTTTCCTTTTTCAATTCGACCTTCAGCGCAGTGCAATTCTAATTGGAATTAAATTTTAGTAGGAGGGGGAAAGGAAGAAGCAGCAACAGTTTGTCGAAGGAGTCGCACACACACACTCACACATCACCAAACATATACATATACACATTTAAGCGCGGCTCACACGCACACCGGTTAAACTTGTTATCGGCCGCATGCAAGAACCCAAAAACTACAACAACTACGAAAATAACTCTAGGCCAAAAACAAGTTCTGAAATAGCAGCAGCAGCGACAACAACAACACTGAACTCAAGTGTTTTATTTTGAAATTATAGTTGTCGCTTTTTTGTGGTAGGTAATAAGGAGTAAAAAAGCCATGCACACACACACACACTCACTGGCTGCCGCGCAAATTAAAAACAAACGAAAGTAAATCAACGTAAAAACGAAACGAACGCGATCCGCCGACGCGCTTTAGGCTTTCAAAACAAAAAATACGAATGTTGCGGCTGTTGGTCAGTGTGAACGAAGCTGGCAAGGCGGAAAAAACCCAAACGCTTTGGCAAAGCACAACCGGAAAATACCAAAAAATTTGGTTCATAGAAAACATTCTCTGTAAATAGCCTGTAAATTCATATAAGTTAGTTTTTTAACTTTTTAGAAACTTTTTTGTATTATTTGTACCAAAATATCATAAAAAAAACAATTGACATAGAGAATGAATTAAAGGATTTGATTGCTTTATCAAATAAATTTATTTAAAAACAATATAAAGGACTCATTATTTTCATTAAAAAAAAAAAAAAAATAAAATAAAAAAAAATGTAATATTTTGCGAATACTAGGAAAAAATTTGGACTAATAAAATGAACGCTTGGCGTGCATTGATTCTTTTATTGTGATTGGCACTAGTTAACAAGCAATTACGAGTAACTAACTCCCAGCCATAGGCTGTTCCACGGCTCGTATTTGGCCCTGTAACTCTTGGATGTGCTGCTCAAACTTCTGGATATCCCCGGTGATCTGTTGTAGACTGGTCAGTACATTCTTCAGCTTCTCCCCATCGATTTGGACTTCTAGTTCACGGATCTGCTTGGTGACATTCCCTGTTAGCGAAACACATTCGACCAACTCACTACAATTGGCATGGAGTTGGGCCAGTAGCTTGTAGGCCCTTTTGGCGTGAAGATCATGTTTGGCGCTCTGAAAGAGCAGGTCGTCTGTATAGTTGAATTGTCGCTGCAACTGGGCGCCCACAACATTGAGTTGCTTTTGTAGTTGGCGGGTATCATCCAGAACTTTGTAGATATCTGCTCGTTGTTTACGGATATTTCCTATGAACTCGTGTATCCTGCGAGTGTATTCCTTACGTGGTGCCAAGGACTGACTGGCGTTGCGCAGAGTAGCATTAAGCTCGTTGTGCTGCTGGGTCTTGGTCTGAAGTTCCTGCTCCAGTTGCTCGATGTTGTTGCGAATTCCCTGAACCTCTTGAGCTTCCTTGGCGGTCTTAAGTGTCTCTAGGTTTTCCAGCAGCGGTTTCCTGTAGTCTTGCCATTGCTGAGTAAGCGTTTGCTTTTTGTTTTGAGTGGTTTGTAGAAGGGTCTCCAGTTTGGCAAGGTTCTCCTCGGAATCCGACAGAATCAAGGATGTGCGTTCGTGCAGTTTTAGCATAGGTTGAATGCGACTTATCTCCTCGTTAGCTGTGTTTTCCCTCTGTTTAAGAACTGTTATGGTGGCAGCATGGGATTTTCGTTCAGTTAACAAGTTTTCGCATTGGACTTGAAGCTCTTGAACCTGGTTACTTAACTCCTGAAGAGGAGAAACCTCCTCCTCCGCACTGGCAGGAGTTTTCACTGCTGGAATCAAAGGTACTGTTGGTTCTTCGCTGCATTCAAAGGGTAGCCCTGGATTCGAGACCAAGTTCTGATCCCATCTATCCAACTCATTCTTGTGTAGCACCGAGGCAATGAGATCCACCGAACTAGAGGACGTTTGCTGGAAGACATTAGGAGCCAACTGTTCGAAATACTGTTGCTGCTCCTTGCTACGCTCCTCGGGATTGGCGGATGGAATGTTAAGATTGATGTTTGGCCGGAATTCAATGCCGAGGCTGCTGCATCCAAGAGATTTTCGATTTCCCACAGATCGGGCGAACTGAGGTACCCATGGCGTTTTAAGTTGTTGAGAAAGCTCCTTCCTGATTTTTCTCTCCAGGAGTTGCCTGTGGCTCAACGATTGCGTCTTGTTGGTACCATCATCATTTTTTTGACGCTCCCTCGGAAGTTGTTCGATAAGGAACATCAGCAATCGTCGGAGTTCCACTGCATTGGGATATAGAAAGGTCTGATAGCCGATGTCACCCCTGTAACCACTATCCTTGCATCCCTGTGCCAAAGAGCTGGCCACTCCGAAACGCTGAGCCATAGCTCCGCCGGGAAGAGAACGGGGAAGCTCTAAGTCGGGTCGTATCTCTGCTAAGCAGCCAGATACGGCTCGCACTACCTGCTCCGGAGTGAATCCTGACAGCTCCTCCGTTAGCTCTATGCTTGCGTCCACTTGGTGCAGCTGGTGAATGATTATCTTGTCAACTTCGTCCATGCTTTCCTATATTTATCATTTACTTTTGCATCTTACGGACAGTTTTTTTGTGACCTATTTATGGCAGTCACCGCGATACGTTAACAAGTCGGTTATCTGGCAACCCTTATACATAGCTGAAACGGATGTGGCAGCACACTTTATTTTTGAAAAGTGATTTAAATCTTAACGTCAATTTTTAACGAATTAAACTTGTTTTAAATAATGCAGTTTTTTTAAACATTTCTAATAAATCAATACACCAAATAAATCATCTTCTTTTGGGATTGCCATTCCCTTTTTCCTTCATAAAGGCTATTCCTTTAACTTACTTTTTCAACAATGGTTTTTAATTAGTAATACTCAATTTATAATCATAAAAAATAAAAATTCTAATAAGGATAAAATCACCTATAATTATAGTAATAGCCTATATTTAAGTAATAGCCGTTTCTTTCAATTGTCTCATCTACTTTAAGGTTAATCTATAACAAATGTATTGTTCAAATTTAAAATTTGGTTCTTAGAGTTCAAATCAAGAATCAAATTTAACCCTTTCTTTCTGCGTTTCCCTAAAACTTGCCCCTGACACTTAGGGTCTTAACGTCATTATTCTATAACCAACCCTTATACAGTGATTGAGTGAAAATTCGCAGATATTATTTTATAGCAGACTGGGCAAAAAATCGTCTTTGCGAGCACGCAACCACAAAGTCTAATTGAATTTGTCTCGTACTGCAGAATGCGATATAAATGAGGCATCGCAGCGATGGGAGACAGTTCAGCCCTGTGGCGCACACAGAGCGAAACGGGTAGCGGTTAAGGAATCGGTTCGGCATCGGTTAATTATCGGGTTAACCGATATGGAACCGCTGTGCAACGCCAGCGAACCGCCTTTGCGGCCGGAGGCGCGGACGTCGGGAAATGGCGATCTGCAATTTCTGGGCTGGAATGTGCCACCGGATCAGATACAATATATTCCCGAGCATTGGCTGACCCAGTTGGAACCACCCGCCTCCATGCACTACATGCTGGGCGTTTTCTATATATTTCTCTTTTGCGCTTCGACAGTGGGAAATGGCATGGTTATCTGGATTTTTAGTACCTCGAAATCGTTGAGGACTCCATCCAATATGTTTGTCTTAAACCTGGCCGTTTTTGATCTGATCATGTGCTTGAAAGCGCCGATCTTCATCTACAACAGCTTCCATCGAGGTTTTGCCTTGGGCAATACCTGGTGTCAAATATTCGCCTCCATCGGTTCGTATTCGGGAATTGGAGCTGGGATGACGAACGCAGCCATAGGATACGATCGTTACAATGTGATCACTAAGCCAATGAACCGGAACATGACCTTTACGAAGGCGGTTATTATGAATATTATCATCTGGCTATACTGCACGCCTTGGGTTGTCCTGCCGCTGACCCAGTTCTGGGATCGATTTGTGCCAGGTGAGATTAGTAAAATAAACCTTAAAGATTTCTTCTAAATACACAAAAACATTTATTCTGGAGGACAAATAAAAAGCTAAAATTTGATTTAGCAAACTGAAGCTTTATTTTAATTAGGTTCTGTTACCATCAGATTTTTGAGTCCTTTCAATTTCTTTCTGATTTGAGCAATGCTTCCAAGAAATTTATGATTTCCATTCCTTCTTTTTTACGGTAAAAGTTATCTTTAAGATGAAGTTACATGTTAAAAAACTGATTCTTTTGCCTCTTTAGCTTCCCACTGGGTTCCATCATGAACCAAGGGACTTTTGATTGAGGGTGAGAGAAAAGTCCACATGCCTCGACTTCCCATAAAATTCCTGAAGTTATTTCGCAATCCCAGATTGTATCTGTAGTCTCCTACCGTATAGAAGGTGGTGTTCAGATATAGTGTCGGTATTTGATAGGCCAACATCACAAGGGGAAGAACTAGGGCATAGACGTTGACGGTAAATGTAACATTCACAAAAAAAAACATCGCATCAAATGACTGAGGATCAAGAAATATAAATCTACGACTAAGATGGTATATCAAATATTTTGCTCTCATTTTTTCATCAATTGCGAAAAGAATAAAATGTGTTGCCACTGCTAAAAATGTTCCAATTGCCATATATACGGTGAACCAGAAGAAGTACCTATGGGTAGGAATATTTGATCATTGGTATATTATCACCAGATTATGAAATACCTGTAATTATTGTGGCCAATGCAGGTGGCTGTAAAGATACAGTGATGGTCTCGCCTTAATATGCAGCAGTCACAAAGTTTGCAGTGCCAGGATCTGGGCTGTTTAAAAATGTTTTTTAATCCCCCAATATAGGGATAGTAATTTCTATATTGATCAACTTACCGGCACTAGCAACTGGCAGTAGTCACAGTGGTGCCACAGATGCTCCTCCTCCGGCAATGGAATCTGCCGCTCTTTGGTTAGGGATGTCACCGAAGTGTCAGTTAGGTAGCAGGCCAACATATTTCCCAGCAGATTGTAGACAATGAATATGGCAATGAGCCAGGAGAACTTGTACAACAGTCCACCGGTGTCGAAAATCATGGGAACCACAAAAAACATTTCCACCGTAAAGAAGAACGCGGTACCCACTAGCACCAATCCCACGGCGGATGGATGCACGGTCCTCACGAATTGTTTCGGATAGGTTTTGGCTATATATTTGCAGCCCACTATTATAAAACACATGGCTTAGCCGATTTAAATTTGAGATGTAGAATATTAAAACTGTTTTCAATTTTTGTCTTTTTGACATATAACGCAAACATTGTTTGATAAGTCTTGGTTTTATTTTTATAGTACTCTTGCATACCATATCTTTAGATCTTTAATTTTCCTTTATACTAGGCAATACCAATCTTTATACACCCTTAAAATATGCTCTCTGGGAATTACCAGGCCCTTCTTGGAATGTACAATAAATTTATTTTATGTATGGATGCATTTATATGATCACATTAACATCTATCTAATTGGGAAGGAAGTTTAGTCAGTTTTCATCAGGGTCCTGAACCTTTTTAATGACCACGTTCAGGGCGAGATTGCCGTCCTCCGAGAACTGTTCTACGGTCATCTTGTTGAGAACCAAGAAATCTGCATGGGTAAACGAGGCGAAACTCTCGCGGATTGATCTGGGCTTGGACTGCCATCTCAGGGTGCGATTATTGGCATCCAGAGAGATATTATACATAAACTTGGCAGCATCCTTCATGGTTCCGATCATCCGACATGCGGTAAAGTATTGCTGACATCCCTCGCCCAAATAGATCTTTTCCAGTGAGAGCAAGAAATGTCGACCGTGGCACGACTGCACCATTGTCCAGTCGAGGGCGCCTTCCAGATTTACGTTAGTGGCCAGAAAGATGATATCGTTACCTTCCATGGTGATCACATTCTCATGTGCATGCACTAGATGCAGATATACATCTTTCAACGGACCCTTCCACTTGCACTTATCGTCCGGATATGGGCAATTGTATGGTCGCCATTCGCAGTCCTCCTCGTGATTGAGCTTCTCTCCATACAAAACCCGTTCTCGACAGCCGTATTGCGAATGTTTGCATGGGAAGATCAGTTTGGTGGCCACCTTTTCCATGGCCAGGCTCCGGATGTTGGTCATAGAGATCCGGCAGACGGGACACAGGGTAACCTTCTGGCGACAGAAGGAACATAACAGATGGCCGCGAGCGCATTGTAAAACCGGAGGCATTATATAGCCAAAGCAAACCGGACACTCGAACAGCGAGACTAGAAAGTCCTCCATTGACCCTTTTTCTTTCGCTTCCAATGGCCTCCTGGTCTCAATTCGGGACGGGACCCTCACAGAACCCCCCTCCCTCTCTGGCACTAGTTCGCCGGCGGGAGACGTATCTGAGGTCTCCTCCTTGACCTCGCCATCTGGTGTTGGTTCCACCTCCAGAATGGTCATAGCTGTAGCCGATTGACGTCTTTCCAAATTCGCTAAAGAATTTTGAGAAGGCTTCATGATCACTGTAGTCGGACGGGATTTAAGACCTTTACGGGAGTTACCAAAAGACATCTGCGCTTGGGATAACAAATCAAACCGCGAACTGTATTTATAACTACCTAACAACCAAAAGAATATTAAAAGGAAAAATGTTCGCTAAATTTTTTGTATACTATTTTATGGAATACTTAAATTTCGTTCTGTTTTAAAATCTCTAGAAAATGCTGGATTTGTACTAAAAATAGAGAATCTGTGAAAAGACAAGAGTTACAGCGAAGTCTAGGCCTACTTATTGAAAAACGAGAATTGGACCAGGTTTTTAAACTTTACACAAGTTCTTGGCTTCCGTTAGGAAGTAAAACACTTCCGGAAGTTTTGTCTTCAGGATAAAAACTGCTCCCCAGATGATTTTAAATAATTAACAGCCATTTTTTTTACTTTTACTAATCACGTTTATTTCACTTCTGTAGTTTTGTGTCTGTGTGAGTGATCTCGTATGGTAGTGGCGCGGTAAATCGGCGCATTAAAAGCTAATTACGGTGCAGATGCTTAAAATCATTTATTTTTCTTCCGTTTTTCGATTGGGAAACGTTGGCCGAAAGAAATCAAAACCAAAAAACATGAGCCGGACCGGGGAGATCGTCTAAACTAGGTAGGAAATTTAAAGATTAACATTGCTTCTTTTTACGTTTCGGGATGGGTGGGGAAAATATGGGGTTGAGGGGGCAAACTGTCTTTTTAGCATTGCGAAAAAAAATTACTTCTTTTTTTTTTGGATATTTGTTATTTTTTTTGTAATGATTTTGGCATGAACAAACTTGCGGGTCGCATTTTCGTTTAGGCTGCAACTTTCAAACAACTCTCGAGTTATTACAGATTATTATTATTATTACTTTTCTTTGTTGTTTCGCTTTTGCTGCTAATGTTATTGTTATTAGGTTTTGTTAATTTCGTTAAACTGTTCGTTTACTTATTACCATTTACAAGTATTGTATAAAATAATTTACATTAACTAAACTAGACTTTGCAGTACAATATGTTCGAGTGTGATGAGTGACCTTCTTGCCTTTCTTGCTGCTGTTCTTGTTTTTCTTGTTCTTGCTGTTGTGCTGAGTGGGTCTGTATTCATAGTGTTCACTGTAGTGGGTGGTGGGCACGTGGGCACGCGCAGGCAGCTCTGCTCCAGGTGTGTGACCCTTACGAACTAAATTAAACTAAAGCAGAAACCCACGAGCTAACAAACCGGGTAACACTGAAACGTTCAAATATATATAATGTGTATATGTGTGTGGGTGTGTGTGCGGTAACTGAAAAATCAAGTCCTAGAACTAGAGTACCAATCGAGCCGTTTAGACATACAAACATACAGGCCTGTCCCGATTTTCACATTCACCAAAAGTTTAGTTAACCGTTGTTGAGAAGATCCGCGAAGTCTCGCCAAGAGTATTTAACGATTATTTTTATTTTTGGCAAATTAGCTGTTTTACTTACAGCCATGTTAACGGAAAAAGAAAACTTGTCCAGTAAACATTTAGAGAGCTTTAAACTTAAACTACATGAACATTTCATTACGCTTTGGAAAGATTTTAGTGTTTCGACCAAGTTTTAAAATCACAACGAAAAAGACATTATGTGCGTAATCATAACATACAAAATGTCGCTTAATTTAAATATCAAAGAAACTTTTGCAAAATCTAGCCGAATGTGATAACCGAAACAGGCTCCATAATTCCAAATATATATATACATATGCATGTAAGTGGCTCTTAGAATAGAGAATCATTTTTATAAAACAACTCTGCAAAAAAACACTCTCATCTTAATCTCCCTTCTCATAAATATGTCCAAGAGTTAAACGACTGTTGCAAACAAGGGCTCTAAACTAAGTGTATGTATATATACATATACATATAATATATATATATATATATATATATATCGGAAAAGTAAACACAAATAAGTTTTAGAACTCGGCGAATTGACAGTGCGTTTAGACCAGGGATATGGTCACGTTGATGCCCAGGTTGCCATTGTCAGCAAACAATTGCGCGATCGACGTGTCGAACACCAGGCAATCCGAGTTATGAATCGCCGAGGCCACGCCCTCGTGGATCGAACGTGGCATGGCCTCCCAGGTGAGCCTTCGTCGATTTCCGTTCAGCTCCAAGCGGTACACAAAGTTCTCCGCCTCTTTGCGCGACCCAATCAGTTGAACGATGGCGAAGAACTGCTGGTGGCCGTCGTACTTCTCCTGCTTCTCCAGCACGAGCATGAAATGATGGCCGAAGCAGGACTGCATCATTACCCAGTCGACGGCGCCGGGCAGGTTGATATCGGTGGCCAGGAACACGATGTCCTCGCCCTGCAGCGTCGTGATGCTCTTGTGCGACATCATCAGATGCTGCATGACTAGGTCCAGCGGGCCCTGCCACTTGCAGCTGGCGCCCGGGCACGGACACAGGTAGGGTCGACACTCGCATGTCTCCTCGTGCTCCGTTTTTTCTGTGTAAACAAGCGAAGCGGTGCATCCGTAACCGGAGTGCTTGCACGGGAACTTCACGTTAGAGGCAACCTTTTCCATTGCCAGATTTCGGATATTCGCCAAAGGACCGCGGCAGGTGGGGCAGCAGGTGAGCTTGGAGCGACAGGAAACGCACACCAAATGCCCGCTAGAGCACTGCAGGATTGGCGGCAGCACATAGTCAAAGCACACAGGGCATTCGAACAGCGAGGTCAAGTCGGCGGACATACCCGCATCACCGCCACCGGCGGACGACAGCGACGAGCTGGACGACGAGGATGTGTTGGCCGAGGACGTGTTGCCGGCACTGGAGGATCCAGTCGAGCTCGTGTTGGTGGCCACTCCCGTGGCCCCGGCTCCTGCTACTGCTGCTGCTGTCGGTTCGCGGCGTTTCGGGTTGATTTTATTTGACATTGGAAGGATTCTATTGGCGGCACGAATGTGTCTACAATTCTTCAGGGTCCCTGCAATCCTCGCCAGGTTCAGGTTCTTCGCCTTTCCGGTGGCTCCGGCAATGGCTTTCTTGTGCTTGAGGCTGCAATAATAAAAATAACCACAAAATCGATGAGTAATGTGCAAAAGTTAGTCATAGAAAAATGGCGATAAGGTTTTTAGAGTGAAATTAGTTACAATAAAAATGGTCATGTTGACCAAAATATGTATATTTAATTAATTATAAACGATTTAATTAACAATTTATATAATATATAGAAGATAGGGTTTATATTTATCAACAGATAACTAATCAAAGCAGTCAATAGAATAGCTGAGGAACTAACTTCGGGCTGATATGCTTTATTTATCACTCCAAGAAATAATTTAAGTTTGTGGGTTTGAAGTTAATATTGTTCAGTTCACTGAGAGAATGGATACGTTCTAGATAATATTTCGAATGACTTTATACACATTTTGAACTAAAATATTAGCTGCTTTGATTTAAAAATCTCACCTATGTAATATTCAACACATACTCATGTAAAATATCAAAATAATTCTAATAAATTTAGAATACGTTCTTTAGATTTCGTCACTATCCCATCATTTATATAAATAGCATAATCAAAGTTAATTTAAAATGAAATCAAGTCAATAATAAATATGTTAAGATAGGTAACGCCATTTACGATTACTTAGATAAGAATAACACTAACAAATCCCCAAAGTTGTAAGTAACAGATGTAGTTTTCAATATTGCACTATTCGATTTACCATAGAAAAGTCACAGTGATTAATCATGCCCTGACCTTAACCTTGCCGTGGATTCACAATTGTTGTCATTACCAAAAAAAAGAAAACACACGCATTTGCGTGTATGGGAATTGCATTAAAGCAATTATTTAACGCGTAACGTATCGGACTAGAGTTGGTCTCCGAAAAGCAAAGCCGTGGTTCGAGGTCGCCGTCACGTCTCCGGGTAAAATGAAGGCCCGATACCGAATCCAAACTCCGCGCCCAAGCCCAAAAGCCTCTTGGCGGCACGTGTGGAACGACGCAAATATGTTGCCGCTCTTATCAGGCGGAGCTGACGGAGTCGACGCTGATGGACGGCCATTAGGGACGACGACCCACTGAGGGATTGTGGGATGGTGGGTGTCGTGCTGGTTGTAATGGGTGTGGTTCCACGATTTTTGTCCACAATGGACAGAATGGGCACATATGTTTGAATGCAGGGGAACGGGCTGCGGGAGCTATGACTACTTTTTCGTTTATGCGATAAGTGTCACCAGCAATGATTATTTCCATTAGCTGGCATAGTTTATTATTATCAAAAATACTTTTTATGGTTCTTAGAAAATCATTAATTATAAACAAAAAATTAAGAAATATATAACATTTTAAAAGAAAAACAAAATCAGTACACTTTTTCATAAGTTAATCATTCATGAAACTTTATTTTTAGGTAATCTTGATTATGCTTATTTTCAAACAAAATATTCATCATGTTTTAATTATGAAACTGATAGTATTTACAAAGCACTTTCTCTCATCAGACTTTTAGGATTTTAATATTTTACCATCCCCTCCATTTCGTAGAAAGTAAAAAAACGTGTTTCATAACTCAATTCGCAATATGAATAAAAAAAACAATAACAATTTGAATATTATTAGAATAATTAATTAACTCAAATAATGTTAATAATTGATTAGCATTTTCCTATTTGTTCTAATTTAACTTTCATTAGCAAATACATTATTTTCGTTAAATTGAATCCAACCAATTCGCAATATAGTTCTTCATATATTTATGTTACTAAATTAGTTTCGGTGTTTAATTAAACTTTGGATTTTTAATTTTGACCAGTTTTACATGAAAATTGAAAAATTAGCAAGTCAATATGAGGAAATCCGTTATTATATTATACATGTTTATTTATGATATGTGACCTAAAATGTGACAATGACAAATCTTGTCATTTCACCCGCATAAACGTAGAATCTTTCACGTAGGACACGCAATGAAAGGCCCGTAACGTAACAAATGCAACGGAGAGTTGTAGGAAAGGGATAGTGTAGGGGGATGAGCAGGGGAACAACACACAGATACTGCACAGACACAAGCGAACACACATAATTAACAGTTCGTTTACGCTGCGTACCGTTGGAAACGTTCATGCGGGGTAAAAATGGTAATTGCCACAAAAGTCATAGCCATGAATATAATTAACTTTGTTTCTGCTTTCGATGAGTTGCAAAACGTAAAATAGAAAACGTAAGTTGCAGAGCAGAGCGAAATGATACTTATTTCTTTTTTATTTTTAAACCGCCATTAAGTACGGCTGCAATATCAACAAAAGCAACAACAATGACTGCAAAATACATAATCGTCGTACATACATATATGTGTGTTAACTTACATGGCAGGCTGCCTCCAAGAAATGGTGCCGTGGTATTGGTGTCCCGCTGCGTTGGTGTGTGTGTGTTTTATTTTTCTTGTTTTTTTTTTTCTCTTTTTTATCAGTCAGCCTTTACGGCCATGCACACACACACGCGCATACAGTCGACATGTGTGTGTATATATCCTAGGTGCAAGTTCCGTTGTGTTTTTTGTTGTTATTTTTTTAAAACTACATATAAATCAATGCAGGTGGTTTTCCTACTGCACACGCACACTGGGAAAATGGAAAAACTGTTTTGATTGCGTTTCGCCTTTTCGTTCACCTTGCGCCGAACCGAAACTCGAAATTCATGCGTGAGCTAATTTGGCTTTTTATCTAATTTTCTTTAACGCGACCCGCACACACACAGATTCATATTTAGCTTTTCTTGTTATTTTTGCCTCATATGCTGCTCCTCTGTTGTTGGCGTTGTTGTTGTTGCACGAAAATAAATCATTTGCATTTCCACACAACAGCGAATATATATTTTTTTTCGTGTGTGTCTCAATTTTTTCTATATTGCGTTCATTTATTCGGCGAGCTCGCCATTTATTGCACTTGCACTTGCGCGGTGTGAAATTCAGTCTTTTTCGGCATTTTCTATGTAAGTTGGGTGTGATGTCTGCATTGGATGGTTAATTAATTAATTTACTAAGTTTCTTTCGTCCGCGTCGGTTGCACTAGAGATGGAGACAAAATCGATGTGTATTCGATACATGTACTCGATTGCATAAATTTTACTATATCGATATTTTCTCAGTAACCATCGATTGCATGTACTGGTAAGGGCTGTCACCGTTGCCGATGGAAATATAAAATAAATTAACTGATAGAACATTACCATTTTTGAAATAGCCATAAGTGGAGAAAACCTCCTAGCCTACGGTAATAAAAATAACTTATATTTATCGTGAATCGGAAATCAAAGAAAAAGAAATAACCTAAACGGAACTGCTCCTATGGACTTACAAATATACCAAAAATGTAAATTGTGCGGGAATTTTCAAAAGTATTAATTTTCGTTGATAAAGTATTTGAATATGTTAATAAATCGATTATACAAATTGACAGTTAAAAAATTAAATGTTATATTGATAAAGCTTAAGCAAATAAGAAATTATATTTATTATGTTCAGTCTTATTAAACTTATAAATTGTCCTTCTATATTTCCAGAGGGCTATCTCACCTCTTGCTCTTTTGATTATCTGAGCGATAACTTTGATACCCGTCTCTTTGTGGGCACAATTTTCTTCTTCAGCTTCGTTTGTCCCACTCTTATGATCCTGTACTATTACTCGCAGATAGTGGGCCATGTCTTTAGCCACGAAAAAGCCCTAAGGGAGCAAGCCAAGAAGATGAACGTGGAGTCGTTGCGATCCAATGTGGACAAGAGCAAAGAGACAGCAGAGATCCGGATAGCCAAGGCGGCCATCACTATATGCTTCCTGTTCTTCGTGTCTTGGACTCCGTACGGCGTGATGTCGCTTATCGGGGCGTTTGGTGATAAGAGCTTGCTCACTCCAGGAGCCACGATGATTCCGGCGTGCACCTGCAAACTGGTGGCATGCATAGACCCATTCGTCTATGCAATAAGTCACCCCAGATACCGCATGGAGCTGCAGAAGCGCTGTCCCTGGCTAGGAGTCAATGAAAAGTCTGGTGAGATCTCTTCGGCTCAATCAACGACCACACAGGAGCAACAGCAGACCACGGCGGCTTAGAATCAAGGATAACTCTACTCTGACACACCTGACCTCGTAATACAAAAAGCCTAGGAAAACTATAAAAGAATCGAACATGAAACAGTGAATAATTATGATTATAATTTGTAGTGCAACATTCCTGAGTTTATAATAAATAAATAGTAAGTTATGGCAAAGTACGAAATTAGTTATTTTTATTTGGGTTCTTTATGCCACCACAAAAACATTTATCTTACTAATATGATATTGTAAAATGTCGGTTTCAAGCTTAAAACAAACCAAAGATTCAGAATTTGTTTTGAAGAATTTATTCAATTTGAGCTTGAAATCAAAAATTAAACTTCAATCCTAAGTACACCAATACATCTAGATCTCCACAGAAATGTTTGGAAAGCATTCCAACATTAAATAAAATGATAGAGTTGGTCTATTTTGAAAATAGTCAGTAATGTATTTATTCGGTTTTTGGGTAATATCTTTCAGATACCCATTGTGAAATCTGTTGGCATTTGTTAAACAAAACGAAAGTGACCCCCCTATGAAAAACCCCAAAGGCCGTGGCCAACCATCAGTTGCACAATAGAGAGTGCAGTCGAATAACGGCACGGTAGTCGTTGTGCGACAGCTGACCACGCTGTGATCGCTCAAGCACCCGGTTGAGGCGATGCACGGTGTCCACATTGGAGGTCATCTTGAAAAGATCGTCGAGGTACTTCAGCGATTCGCGTGACCAAAACATGGACGGTTTGTTCGCGTCCTTGTTGATGCTACCACGTTCGTTGTCCATCTCAGACAGCAAGCGGGCGCACTCCGGATTGAGAGCCTGGCGCAGCTGCAGATCGGCTCGGGATCGTTGCTCGGGATTGTTAAAGGGCATCTGTTTGATCTGAGGACGTCGAAATTGCTGTTGCTGGTTGTTTTGTTGCTGCTGTTGCAGACTTTGCTGCTGATTTTGCTGATGCGTACGTTGCTGCTGTTGTCTCTGGTGTTGCAACCGCTGATTGTTTTGCTGTTGCTGTGACAATCGTTGCTGATTCTGATGCTGTTGCTGTAAGCGTTCCTGTTGGTTTTGTTGCAAACGATGCTGGTTCTGCTGCTGTTGCTGTAAGCGTTCCTGTTGGTTTTGTTGAAAACGATGCTGGTTCTGCTGCTGTTGCTGTAAGCGTTCCTGTTGGTTTTGTTGCAAACGATGCTGGTTCTGCTGCTGTTGCAGTCGTTGCTGTTGCAAACGCTGCTGATTCTGCTGTTGTTGATTTTGTTGTTGTTGTTGCAACCGTTGCTGTTGGTTTTGTTGTTGCTGTTGCACACGTAGCTGATGCTGCTGTTGTTGATTCTGTTGCTGCTGCGCCTGTTGTTGCTGTTGCTGTTGCCCCTGACCCTGACGCTGTTTTTTCTTCAACATTTTCGGAGGTGGTGGAGGAGCCATATGCTGCCATTCCGGCGGTGAAGGAGTTGGCGAAGGGGGCCGTTTAGTTGGTGACTGAGGCTGGCTCTGGGTTTTCGTTGGCTGCAATCCCAGAAGCAAGGGGTCAATGTGCATCGAGGGCAGACGATTCTTCTGACCCAGACGCGCATAGCTGGTAAGTAAAGAATCGTAATTCGGATGTGGATAGGCGGTGAAAATCATGCGCCAATGCTCCTCTATTTCGTTGCGCATTTCTGGCGTGGCGTTATCATCCGGCGAGAAGTCATCGATTAGGCGACGCAACAAAACCAGCAACTGATCAAGATGGGACTTGCCATTTACTAGTCCCGCCTGGCCAACTAATATCATATTAAGATTTCGACGCCTTTTTTCTGCCATTTTAAAGCCATTTCTTGTATTCAACGCCTCTAGCTCCTTGATGCGCATATAGTGGTTCTTGGCTTTGCCCAGATTGCTGCTTAGACTATTGATCCCATCTCGCATAAAGCGGATAAGCACATCGATCCGTTTTGGTGGTTTCTGGCTCTGGAACTCAATGCTCTTGCGCTTAACCTCCTGGTTTCTATGCAACAGTTTTAATTGCAGTTCTTCCTGGTTCTTTTTTAAGCCATAAATGACCAGCACATACCCATATTCCTTGAAGTCCATGCGTACAGTTACTTGGCACTGTTTGGCGGCCGTTGCCAGGAAATCCCAGCCCTCGGGACTGAAAAGGTACTCGGATTGGTCGCGCGCCATGATAATCTTGCCCTCACTTGGCATATCGGGAAGGTCATCACTGGAGTCCGGCTGAGGATCCTTGTCACTACGACGGCCACCGTTGCTGGAGTTGATACACATGGAAATTCCCTGAACGTTGGAGGAGAGTTCAAACTCGTCATCCAAAGTTGAACTTAGGGGTATAACATCGGGCAGATTAGACAGGGAATTGTTTTGCTGAGGTTTCTCACTTGTTGTCGAGCTGGGCACATCAAAGTGTTCAGAAAAACTGTAATTCGAATCCGAGTCTATCTCATGGGGTGTCACTGCCGGCTTCGTATTGTCGGTCTCGAATGAGGTATGAAAATTGGAAGTGATCTCTTCACCCTGAATGGAAACCGACGAATCTTCCTTATTAGGCGGGTCTGTAGGTTTCTTGTTATCAACTTGCACCTCTTTAGATATATCTTCTCTAGGTTCCTTCTCATTTAGCAGAGGTTTATCAGGTTGCTTCTCCTTCGGCTGTATCTCTTTTGGTTCCAAATCAACAATTTCTTGCACAACAGGCTGCTTATTTGGCTTCGTAAGCGATTTCCTAGACGCCTCGGTGGAGGCGTCCCCTTGAGCTGCCTTAACTTGGGCATTGGGCACATAGTCATTGGTAAAAAACTTCTTTGGAATTTCCGCCAAAGCAGTAGTTGACTTCCTTTTGATTGGTTGTGATGTAGCCAAGTTTACATGGATAAGAAACTTTGAATAGTAACTATTTTTGGGCATATTCGGACTATCCCATTTAAAGTGAAAGGGAGTTTCGATGGTAAAGAAACTGGACAAATCACCAAGGTATCCTATGGGTCCACCCCGATTCTGGTAAATCTTTTGATGCGACACAATATGGCTAGTATAGTTATTGGCACGAAAGTCACCAAGCCGTTGTCGGCAATTCTCGAAAAGATGTCGTCCGGCGCAGTAGCTGCACTGTACGTTCCTGTAATGCACCCTGCTATCCAGTTCCACGTTGGATCGAGTCTGCCGATAACCAAATATAATATTTTTTTTGTTTGCTATATGGAATTTAAATTTATTTTTACCGTAGAGTGATAGCGTCGCCATTTATCTGGGCAGTGATCCTGGCCGTGACCCCTCATCTTACACAACTGGCATACCAGGCGGCTGTGAAAGGAGCACTTGTTGCACTGTTGCACGTAAATCGCCTGCTTTGACCCGCACTAAAAACGTATAAAAAATGATTTATTAAAAATTAATATAGATATTAATATTTGGCTATGCTATATTCATGACCTACCCCAAAACATATAGCATTGGGACAGCGAGGTTCGGCATGCCCCACGGTGCCGCATATAGCGCAAACGAGTGGCTTACGGGGACGCGGGCACTTGGACCGCACGTGACCCATCTCAAAGCAGTTCGTGCACTTGGAGTGGGAGCGGGGTCTTACTACCGGATATCTATCTGCATTGTTGAGCCTCCAGTCTTGGCGATGTCCTACGATAACAATGGTTTAATAAATGCACACCTCATTTCCATCTCAGTTTTAGTACTCACCATTCATTCTTTTTTGCAGCTTATGCACAGAGAAGTTTTCTCCATTCCAGCTGTCGTTGTAAAAGCGGCACATCTCCTCGTTCCAGCCAATGAGTTCCCCACTCTTGGGCAGACTGTCGTCATTTAGAGTCGACAAGTTGTGTTCCACTTTGATAGCCGGGTCCTCCATCGTCACTTCTACATCGTTTTTATCCAGATCCGCCTCTTCAAGTTCATGGGAGACCTCTACATCCTCCTCCGATCGTACCGTTGTATCTGCGGTTTTATCTAGGGAATCTTCTTCATCAGATAAGTATCCACTGGCATCCATTTGTTCTTCATCCACAGATTTTCGGGCTTGGGCATCAATGCGCTCAAATACCGCCGTTAAGCGATCTGATATTGAATCGTGGGGTTCTGCTTCTGCTTGGCAATCTGCTTCGGAATCTAAAGACACGCTGTTCACAGCATCAGCAGTAGTTTCTTGTAACTGATCTCTATCTTGCCTTTCCTTCTGATTAAGCAATCGTTCAGCAATATCCCTAGCACTGGGCAGTTCGTCCTCGGAAGTGGGCTCAGAACTACCTTCCTGACTCGCAGAAACCCTTTGCTTTTGGATGCGTGAAGCCTTCTTCGGCATTTCATCCGAGTTTTGTCTAGCGCTGATTCTGCGGATTTTACGCTTGCATCGCTCTACTGCCATGCCACGGGATATACCAGGAACTCCAGTAGAATGAACTCCATCGTCACTGTCTGTATCATCCACTCCATCCTCGTTGTTTGCGTCCGACTGACTGTGATTGTTAGTTGAACAGGAGCGTTTGCGCAGACGCTTAGTCTTTTGCACGCTAGCCTCCACAACCTCCACTGACGAGCAGTCTGATGGAGAGTCTATGCTGCGTATGATAGTTGGTACGACCTTGCTCTTGGCTTTCGAGTAGATGCCGCTCTCAGTGAGATCAGATTCACTCTCGTAAACGTCTAAAGCCCGAAATTGCTGTTCATCCACACGAAAGTTCTGCTTAATCTGCTCCAGACGCGAAGGTGGCACAAATTCGTATTCCGAGGACGAATCAACAGTGGGATTTCGTTCATGATCTTGAGGTGTTTCTTCCAAAGCCTCTTTATCTTGGCCTTCTTGACCGATTGTTTCCCTTATCGCCTTTTCTGTCAGCACAAGGAGATCATCATCATTGGCATCTTCACGTTCTGCCAAAAAGCGGCTGGTATCCTTCTGTACTATAAAGTCATCACTGGACATAACGGAACAGCAAGGCGAATGCATAGATGGTGTGATACTGCCAGTTACGACTGCCGTCGCCTCCGGTTCAGAGGTACAAGTCGAACCAATCCTCATGTCCGAAGCATCCATAGCATTCTCCTCGTAAAACAGTTCAGATGGTGTAGTAGTATGCTCTCCATCGCTTGTATCCAAATCGATGATAGGTTCTGGGGGCAAAGGGACGTGCACCACATCGTCGTTGGAGGATAGGCTGCTCTCTGCAAGATCGACAAAGTCAATCGGTGAAGATTGACCCTTTCGTTGCTTTTTATTCAACTGTGCTTGCTTAGATTTCTGTTTTTTGCCTTCTAGCCGCTGCATCAGCTCCAACTTGCGATTGGCCTTGCCAAAAGGTCCAGGTCCTTGATGCTGCTGTTGTTTGTTCTGTTGTTTCTTCTTCTGCTGTTTGTTTTGCTGTTGCTGCTGCCCCTTTTGATGCGGTTTACTCTCCCTTTTGGGTGAACAATTCGGTGGGATAGCAACAAGGAGCCTCTGGTCCAAACGTTCTTCTTCGTAGGCTTCATAGTTGACTTTGGTGGGTGTGGTAGCCTGCGGTTTTGGTTTTTGTACTACTGGCGACTGCTTCGGATTTTGTTGCTGCTTTGGCTTCTGATTTTGTTGCTGTCTCTGTTGTGAATTTTGCTGCTTCTTAAGCTCCTGATGGTTGGGTTCATGAATTTGCTGCTCTTTTAGCTGTTGATTTTGCTGAAGTACTAAAGACTGCTTTACTGGTTTTGGTTGGTTAGGTATTTCTTTTTTTTGTGTCACCGATGGGCTTTTATCGTTTGGTCTTTCAATATCCTTTGGTGGTACCGGGGCTAAAGGTTCATCATCTAAAAGCACAAAATAATTTAGTTTCCGTTTTTCAAAATCTTTAATATAACCAATAAATATTCTCTAATTAACAAATTCATTTTCTTAAAGGTACAGTAAAATTCTTTATACTTATCGTGTTTTAGATTCAATATATAAGGAGTTTATAATGATTTCTTTTTGGTAACCAAATAGAAGTCCTTTTTAAAAAGGCTCAACTACACTGTTCGCTTATCATTGCAAGCCCTTAAACCAATTACGAAAGCAGTTTTTTAATTTTGGGTACAATTTTTAATACCATGGTGGGTTTAGCATATGGCTTAAACGGGCGTTGGACATGTCTTCCCCCTTTACGTCGTTTAGCTTGTAACCTTCGAGTGCTAGATCCGATAATTGTGATTCGCTAATGTGAAAGAGGACAAAGGCTTCCGCCAACAGATCAGATCGATTAGGCCACAGTAGGATTCGCACAGCAGTGCGAAACTCATCGATTGCACCCCTTATTAGTTGCTGAGCTTCGGACAGGTTTGTGTTTGGCATCACAATCCTCTGGCCCAATTCAGAAAGCTTGGTCTGCACTTTGAGGGCCTGCTCCAATTTCCTGACCAATCGTATAAACACAAACCTACGGTAACGTTCTTCAAAATGCTGCCGCGGCATATCGTACTGACTCATTTTACGACGAATCAGGGTGGAAAAAATAAAGCCATCCACACAGGATCCCAGCACACTCACAGTGGCCATAAGTACGATCCCGGAAAGTATGTATTCCATGAGCCTCTTATCCAGCTCCTCGCACCAGAAGTACAAGTCCCGACCATGGCGAACCAGTTGGTAATGGAGCAGGCACAGAATGCAGACCAGGTTGAGTGTGGCCAGAGCCAAAGTGCAATGGTTGAAGTTACCCAACCGCCTGTTAAGTACTTGCAGGCCACACCTGCCTAGATTCAGGAATCGGATAAGAACGCAGGTCATCATTGGGAAATTATTGAGAATTTTGAAGGCACACCAACGAAACAGGTTTTGAAAATTTAGTGTCCAAAAGCAAGGCTGATTCCCATTGAATGGAGTTAGTTTAGGCAGGGGTTATGGTCAGGGATCCACAAATCTTCCTGAAGCAACTCAAATATCTCACCAACAAAATTAGTGATAAATATCGCTTTATCAATGTTATTGTTATGTTATAATTATATTTGGGCAATTTAATTTTGAAAAATGTTACGTTTTAATATCATTTTAAAATAAAGTTTCTTTTAGTTTTTTTTTCATAAAAAAAGAATTAGTTTATGACTATAACGTACTAGAGATAACTTAACAATAATTATAGGAATTATGAATAATTATAGGAATATAAACTAAAATTGTCGTATGTCAAAACATATATATAAATTATATATTCATCACGATAAAAATCACGTAATATTGGAAATTATTGAAATGAAATTTTTGTTAATCTTTACTATATATTTACACTACACCACTATCACCACTGATTGCCACTCACCTGGGATTGTTTTGTTTGTGGTCGCCTGCTGTTTGTCCGCCTGCATCACCTGCCCCTCAGCGCCTGCTCCCTCTGCCCAATAGCGTGGCCTCTGCTTATGACCCGCATTTTTGTTGTTCACTACTCGTGTTCCGCTGACAAAACGCTGGCCAGGATTTTGATGTTTCTGTTGTGTTGGCGGTGGCATGCTCTTGGTATCCTGGTCAGTAGGTGACTCCATCGCAGGCTGATCCGCGGCAGTGTGTTCGCCAGTTCCATCGCTGTAGTGGATTGAGGCATATAGGATCGATTCTAGCTCATTCAGCCTTTCGCTGTCCATCTCCTCAAGCTGCAGATAACGGGACATGACATGGGGTCAATAATCAAGTATTAAGGCCAACACTCACATCACTCATATTGCGCGTCTTTGTTTTCCTTTCCCTTTGATTTATTTTTCTTGCGCATTGATAAAAGTAATATAAAGAAAAGAGAGCACGTTGATGGCAGTGATGGGAAATCTGAGAAGAGAAGGACAATTGAAGCAGCAATATCGGTCTATCGGCTTATGTGACTATCGAATAAAAAAATTACCTAGTCGCTAAAAATATATCATAAAAAAATATATTATAACTGTAATGCGAAATAAAAACTTATTAAAGCGTAGGCATGTAATATCATCAGAAATTTTAATTAATTTAATTTGCAGCTATAAATAACTAAAAAGTTGTACAATAATGGTTATTACTTTTCAAGGGATGTAATTTTAAAACTGAACCAATACATAATAACATCACAGCTATTTGTAAATAAAAATTAACATAAAAAAAAAAAAAATAATTAAATAATAAATTATGCATCGCACGTTATCTTAATAAAGATTAAATTCTTTCTTCCTACTAAATCGATAGTTCTAATATTACTATCGATATTATGGGTGCCAACCAATGCCGATTACTAGAGGAGCAACCCTAGCTGCCGGGCCACGTACAATTTGCTACAAAAAATAACAAGAAGCTAAAAAACAATGTAAGTGTGTCTCAATTGTGTTAAATGAATATTTTAATATACTTTAATACCATAATTTGACAGTATGGACGTGATGCAGCGCTACGTTTCGCCCGTTAACCCGGCCGTTTTCCCCCACCTCGCCACTGTGCTCCTGGTCATCGGTACCTTCTTCACCGCCTGGTTCTTCATCTTTGTGGTGTCCCGCAAAAGTTCCAAAGAGAGCACTTTGATCAAGGAACTCCTGATCAGTCTATGCGCATCAATATTTCTCGGATTTGGCATCGTGTTCCTGCTTTTAACCGTCGGTATTTACGTATGAGATATAATAGGCAAAGACCATTCCGTATAGAAATAAACTACAGATGTGATCGTGGGCGTGAACGTAAATGAAGCCTTCTTTTAATTAAGGTTTATTGTAATTTCATTTTCAAAGATTCAATTTGCGCTTAAAACAATATCGAATATATATTCTCCTAACATATAAATCGTCTACACGTGCACACACTCCGTCGAATAAGAAATCAACATTTGAAATCATGACTGTTCTATCCGGCCAGTCCGGCCTTTTGTCGGCACTTTTGCATGGTGGCCCGCAGAATAAACTGTTTTCGGGAAAGTTGGCGCACATGCTTGAGGAAGGTTTCCAGGTCGATGACGCCTCCACGGAGCCCTTCACCCAGGTAATAGATGGCATCTTCGGTGGCTGCCTCGTCAGCATAGGCATTGAGTAATCTATGGAAAAATAAGCGGTTAAAAATTAAAATAATTTGAGACAAGATATATATATATACTAAGAATGTAAGCCCCAGAAAACCCTTCGAATAATAGGTATAGCTGCCTCCCAAAGTAACAACTTACTGTCGGTATAGGGGCGCTGTGGTAGTCACCGCCTCGTCAGGGTCAATGGCCTCAGCGCTCTCCAGTGTTTCAATGCTTTTTTCCAGCTCCTGTTCCTTGTCTTTCAAAACACTGATATTCTTCTGCAGATCAACCTGTTCACGTTCAAGACGTGATATGATGGCATCGATCTTGGCACTTCCCTCGACCAGCTCCTGCTTGGTGCGATTGAGCGTCTCGATCTCGGCATGATACTGATTGACTTTCTCTTGGATGCGACGACGCAGCTTGTCCTCCACAGCGCTGATAAGTGATGCTTTTATGTGTTCCTCGGTAATAGTTCCCGTGGAGCTAGGATTAGAAGGGTTCTAAAGGGAAAGATATTTATTGTAACAAGTTTTTTAATAATAGACATGTAAGACTTACATATACTGCTGCTGGTGAATAGCCACCGCCCGCTGGCTGTGGAAAATTCATGTAGGGCGGATAGCCGGATGGCCCAGCTGGACCAGCGCCGGCCGGTGGATACGGGCCGAAATTGGAGCCGGTTGGATACGGCGGAAAGGTGCTGCCACCGGCTCCGCCAGCTGTGGGATAAGGCAAAAAAGAATTGCTGCCACCGGGACCTCCTGGCTGAGGCATATAGGCTGGAATTATGATAAATATTTCAGGAAGTAAATATTACTAATTAAATTGTGTTAAGTACAAGCAATGTGGTTTTCGACAAGAATAAAAACCCTCACTCACAGTTTGTGGGATATGGCGCAGCGATTTGCTCCTTGGGCTTTGAGTACACCGGCGGATGATCTCCAAAGGTGACGATCATCACCTGAATGAGCGACAGAAGGTCGGAGCTGTGCGGCTGCCAGTCGTGAAGATAGGGCAGATAGACCTTTCCATTGTGATCCACATACATGGAGACCTTTATCTGCATGGTGGGCGTGGGCTTGACAAAGCACATGGGTGCATTCTGCGGATGAGTGTCCATTAACCATATACAAATGGGAATGTAGTAGGTGTTATCTGATGATAGCAAAAGGGAATACATTTTCATTATCATGCATTATCAATAGGGTTTTATAATATAGTGAATTTACTTTTGTAAACCACGGGAATAGTGCCCTGGATGGTGAACAATTCCTTGGAGCTGCCATCGTTGAATACTAAAAGCAAAAGTAAATAATTAATTATAATATATGGATGGGATGCTCTTATCAGCTGATTCTTACCGAATCGCTGCAGGTCGTAGGTCAGGCTGCGATACGATGTGACCACATCAACCACATCCTTCTTGGTGGCACCCACATATTTATACTAAAATTAATTCCATTATAATCGTTAATTGCGTTGCGTGCAAAAGAAAGGAAAACATGAAATCCCAGAGAATGGGAGGATGACTCATGGACGGGCCTTACCTTTGATAGATACTTAGTTATTTGAGTCTCCTCAACCGCGGGCATTATGCTTGGCAAACCAGATCTGCTTCAACCGAAATTCAGCCCAAAATTTATCTTGAATTTTGACCCTTTTTCGTTAGGTTTACAGGGAATTCGTTGAATGAAAACAAAAAGATAGTATCGAATGTGAAGTAAAGTGTGCCCGCTACTTTTCCCTGAAAAAACCCTAATGCGTCGCAGGTGTGTAGTGTTCCGAAGAACTGCCAAATGGTCACACTTGACTAAAATTTATGTTGGGAAATCGTTTTTTTTTTGTTTTTCCCCGGTTTTTAAACTTTAAATGTGGTAAAAAAAATTATACTCCCTTACTTAAACCTTGCAAGAAGTAATATAAGAAGCAATTCCATTTTGTTATTATTTATTTTAATGACCAATGATGCCAAAGCGTTTGTTTGGCTTGTTATCGGCGCAATCCGTTTAAAATTTGTTTAAAGTTCAAAACCAACTAAATGGAAGAAACATTTCATATTACTAAAATTCTAACAAAATTGAAAATAAATCTTTTTAATTATTCACTTATTTTCCCTTTGATAATCAGTTTTCGGTAAACTTAAAGAAAATGATTTCTTTCTTTTAAAAGTCAAAAATAACTATTCTGCAATAAATTTCTATTAGGATGAAATTTACCTAGAACATTTAACTTTATTATACAGTTGAGAGGTTTGTGTGAGATTATCTTTATAACCAATGTAAACCCAAATCCAATGCCTTCCAATGATCTGAACAATTACGAGTTTAGAGCTCTAAATTCTTTGCTTAATTCCAGTTGCCTGTGCTGATTTTAATTAACCAAATCTTGTACAGATCGAAGCCTCCGGGCTATCTGTACAACAATTAAGCCAAAAACGTGCCAATTACCGACCGATCAGCTTATCTCTGCAAAGTAAATCCATGTACCGACCCAATGCTCCACTCGTTAAGCCCAATTGTGGGCAGAAATTGGCGAGAGTCGTTAAACTTTTTCGAGGCACTTTGTCGCGATTTTCAATTCCGTTGCTGATTTCGCTTTGACAGTAATTACTTCCAATGTCTCAAGTTCGCGCACATAAAATTTCGATTCCGAGGAAGGTCAGGTCTAATGCCTTTTGTTACTGTTTGCTTAGCTGATTGATTTCTGGCCGAAGCGCAATCAATGAACAAGTACAGTAGCCAAAATGATGCCCTATCATTAAGGGTAGATCACCAATGGCATTGCTGGGATATTGGATTTCTTGCTGGTGGTTATTTATTCAACAGTTTATTATTATTCATCATTTTATTTGATATTTTAATGAAGTTAAGTTTATCTAATGACAGGATAAACTTAAAGTTTATTTTACAAAAACTAGGTCCTAGACTTTTGCAATAAGAAACTAAGTTGGTAAGACTTTTTAAATCTTAAAAACTAATGTAAGTTAATTCAATTTTTACAGCGATATAGATTTTAATAGCTAGCAGATTGATAACCTTATAAATAGACTGGGTATAGCTGCTTCGGTTGGCTGGACATTTTGGTGGAATGGCAAGTGCTTTTGGGCAATTGGCTTCTTGTGCGTTTCGCCTTCGGCCAAATACAAATTGTTGGCCATGTGTACTTGAACTCGGTTGAAGAGCTCGGCTGAAGTTCAAATCAGAAGTGAATACACATAAATCACTTTTGGGCACACTCTGGCTGGCTGACTGCCGATTACTCATACGCCTCGTGGTCGCTTTTAATTAGCCAACACGATTCTTATCACTATTGGCCACAGCTACTGCGGGAAACCAACTTTGGAAATGCACTGGAAAACTGCAAATTATGAAATGCGATTCTGACATTGTAATTATTTCGACATTATTTATGTCGAACCACCACTGTTACTAATGAATTAAAAAAGTTCTTCAATTTTCTAATGTATTTCGGAGATTTTTTTCTTCAAATAAAACTAAAATAAAATTTAGAAATTATCGAAATATTTTTCTGTGTGGCCGTGTAATTGCCTGCTTTTGTAAACTTGATTTTCTCAACCGCGTTGACCTCCGGCCAGCTGTGTGCTTCTTCTGCTGCCACCGCGATAATGATAATCATCGTAATAATCGCGTTCCCGGGGTCTTTGTGTGCGACGTTGATTCTCTCTTTTGGCTGTGAAATCTTCTAGCCCATGTCCCAAGGCCAACCAAATTACAACAAAGCTCTGGGCAGCGGCAATTGAGTTCATTATCATAATAACCCATTGACCAACTAACTGTTGTAAGTTTGTTTTTTTGCCGTAACCAATAGTTCTTGATTCGCCCGGTAGGTCTCATTTGTTGAACTCCACTCAGAATTCAGAACTGAGAATCGAAAGTAGTAAGTGATATATGCGACAAGATGGGGACCACCCACGGATTCCCCAATCGAACGTTTGAATCTCGTTCAGAAGTCATCAATTTTGTCATCCGAATCTCGCAGCTCGATTAATCACTTCACGCCTGCCAATGACTTTTAATGAGCCGCCGTGCGGGCAATAAATTTAATTAAAACAATTTCAGCACTTTGAGGCCGAGTACTTGACCCAAACAGATGATCCGGCTTGATGTTCTAGCCAGCCAGATGAATCCGTTTCGGCATAATGGAATTGGCCAAAAGCGGAAGTGGGCAGGCAAAGCCCAGCTAATTGGCTACCATTATGTCTTTACATTTTATAAATGGCAAATCTTCACTCTGAATAGAGACTTATTTTCGGAGTACTTATTGCGCGGAGTTCTAAAAATAAAGTCTAATGAGCACCGCCGGGCAAACACAATAATTGACTAAAAATAAATGCCAATGAAAGGAACTAATGAAATTAATCTGTCAGATGATTTCTGTGATTAAGAGACCGCAAAAGAGATTCCATGGAGAAAAGGCAAAATTCCCCGCAGAATTCCCAGGAACATCATCATCAGCCATTAAACTCATATGGTCCATTCATCCGCTCCAGTGACCTCTTCCAAGAAGGCGGAAAAACGAGTTGCCAATTGAATATCCACCGTAATGCTATTTAATGTTTTTTATTGTGCCATAAAAACAATAAACCATTTGAACAAAAGCCCAGGGCAAGAATCAATAATACACCTGATGCTGCCATGACATGCTATATATGTATATACTCGTATATAGCTAACCATATGAATGTGTTTTTTTGGTACCAGCCCCCACTGACAATATCATTAACAACAAAGAACAATTTTATGCCAGCATCACTTTGCAGCGATTAATGAACAATGTACAACACATTGGGGAAAAAACAAAACCAATCCAAGAACAAATAAATACGTAGAAATACAAAAAAGCATGAAATAATATTCAATAAGATGTTTAAATGGTGGGCTTTGGGCGAAGACTTGCGGCTAGATCTAATAAAAGTTATTTGACTACGGCTAAGAGGTTTATGAATTTATGCCCATTACTTTGACTTTCAATAATAATATGCTTCTTTCTGAAAATAAATCTTCATGAAATTTAGTAATAAGTCAATGCTTAATCCAAGAACAAATAAGTATAAAAACAAATAAAAACATTAAATAATATTCAATGGGATCTTTGAGCTTTGAGCTTTGATCATGAGATGGGATTTCATAAAGCTGATTTAACTATGGCTAAGAGGTTTATGTATTTATGGCCACAATAAATCAAATAAATTTATATTTTGTTTTGGTTTTAAGAAGATTCTTTCCCCAAAATGTACTTAAAAATTCCAGAAATTGCGCAATATTTTATAACCCTTTACTATTTAAACTAAAATTAAGAAGAAAATAACTAAATCACTGAGAAAACTAATAGTTTTCTTAACCATTAAGGTATTGCATTAAATATATATTTAGCTAAACTAAAAATAGGGCCTTAATGTTCTCCTTAGGGTATAGAGAATGGCTTAATTACATATTCAGAATATTCTTTTTCTGAACTTCCATTTCCAACCATTCGCCAACCATTTCGTAACAAAAACTATGATATAAGCCCTCTGTTTTTTGGGCGTATCTGGGGGTCACTTCCGGGTCAAGCCCCGTATTCACCTGCGGCTCCACCTCATCTTCTGCTTCTGCTTCCCCTTCCCCTTCCCCGAGCGTTTTACATTCGTGAACTCTGCCACTCGACGACAGAGAACCATTAATTAGCAAATTGCTTTGTTTTTTGTGACAAAATAACCGAATTTGTTCGTGTGCTCGGCTGATGATTGATGGCTGTTTGATTTGTGCGAACTTTGAATTAGCCATCATTTGTTGGAACCTGTCAGCAATCGATGAATTAAACAGGGACTGGGATTCGGGCGACGTGTGGCTCCTCCAGGCGAATATCTCCATGGATTATAGCTCCGTTAGCTCCGGTTCCGCATTGCTTTTGAAAAACACAAAAATATTAAATAAAACCATTAATATTTTGAAAATACTTTCCAGATCTAGTTTCGAGTCTTTTAGAAGAGCACTAAATAAAGGCAATGACAGCGCTGACAGTTTAGAATATGAAATGAGCCGAGCAAAAACCTTCGGACAGTTTTGTTTTCGTTCTCTAGAACCCCAAAGACCCATTTCAAGTGAACAATAATTTTCGAGCATAATTACGACGACAGCTAAAGCCTCAGCGACAGACACAATTACCTAGATTTTTGAATAGAGCTTCAATGTCAGCATTACAGGAAGCATTTTGTTTTATTTCGCTTTCGTCTACAGAGCTCGAATTCTAGCCCTGGCCATCTTATCACGCCTTAAAATCGAATAATATTCTGCTTATCAATGACATAAAATTAACTGCCATCTGTCTATGTTTATGGCTACTGTTTTTGCTACGATTTTGTCTTGAGTTTGCTGTTAGGTTTCGCATAAAAGTTCAATTAATTATTTATAATTTTTATTTCCTGTTTGTCTCTGCTCCGCTATCGTTAAAATGAAATTTATGAATGATCATTGGCTGACTTGGGGTTTCCAGTTTCTTGATTCGATTTCAAATGCTGGGCACGTAATCAGCTAGGCCATAGCTCTAACACTCGAATTGGTTTATATAATTCTAAAAAAGCATTTTGCAGTTAAATAAATTGATTTTGTTCAGTTTTTGCTGGTAATTAATGGAGTGGCAAATTATCAATAATCTCTGCTCAGCTCCTTTCAAGTGGCAAATTAGAACAGAAGTTGATTGATGCTGATTGAATAAGTTTCGGATTTGAATGCGGTCTGTGAGTCACCAAATATAAATTAGTCACTCTTCAAGTTGGTTGTGTAAACTCATTTTGTTGGTAAGAAGAACTCTGTGGGGAATTCTGTAGAAAAAATCATGACTCTACAAAGGAAGTTTATTTTGGCCTAAAATAGAAAACCTTTATTAAGCAATAACTTCTTAATCATCACCTTAGTGCATTTCAATCTACTTTAAATGTTAACTATTTCATTTCTTTATCCTTTAAAAATATCATTATGAATATGAAGGAACGTGATAAATTATATCATTATGATGAATGCACATTTTACCAGTTAAGTCTCAACCTACCTCAATTAATTTTAACAAGTATAAGCTTTTGAAAACACAAAAACCATTTGTCAAAAATTCATATTTCAGTCACAACAAACATTTTCTGACTTTAACGAATCATAATAAATTTTCAAAAATGTACCTTAAATAATTCACCATTCAATCATATGATTATAACCCCCTTGGTCACGATCCACAGTAGCACTTCCACTGCCGTAGTTACTCATCATTTGACGAGTGCTTCCGGTAATGCAAAAACTCAAAAAAAAAAAAAACTGAAAACACCTGACAAAAACCAAAAGACTTAGGCAACGAACTTTTCGACCTTTCTCATGCTCTGACTAAATTTACAAAAAAAAGAGAAACAAACACAGCTCAGTGGCATACAAATGGCGCTACCTAAGTGAACTTTAATTGTTGCCAGGGCCACGCCCACTGGCCCTCGATCCGCCCATTGTGAATCGGAATCGATGAGTTTTGGCACGTAAAATTGATTTTTGTCCCGGCCAGAACTTATTTTCGTGTACTACGTGACCTGGCAGCTGGCCCGGAGATAATGAGCAGCCCAAAAGACCGAAGCCACGTCACCATGAATGGAATGCAAGGCGAAGAGCATTCGTTGCGCCTGTCCCGGCAATTGAACAAAAAACGAAAAACCCGAGTAGCCTAAGCTGAATTTAAATTTAAATTAAATGAAAAATTGATGTACTGTCTGCTCGGCGTCGAGGCTTTTTTTTTAAAAAAAACTTCGAGGCGTTAAATGTTTGTTTTGGGTTGACAGTTGTCAGTTGGCGTTGTCCGGCTTCGGGAGTCTTACACTTTTCTCTCTCCGTTAAATCAAATATAATTTGAAACTTCACCAATTCTCGGTTGTGTGTTTTGTGTTCTTAACAAATTGTTCTTTAAGTCCATCGAACAAAGGCAACGCAAATTTAATAGGAAACCCACACAGGAGACACTCAAAAAGTGCATAAAACAAAAGAGCGATTTTTTATTTAGTTGCTGGAGTTGATCTAACAAAGAGTGGCGTTAAAACCAAACTTGAAATCATTTTCATAAACAAACGCGTTCATTGACCAATTTTATATAGAAGCAGACAACAAAAGTCAGCCATCAAATGCGTCACGCTTGACTCAAAAGTCAACCGCAGCAATAACAGGAAAATTTAAATAAAGCAAGACAAGGAAGAAAATATAAAGCCAGCTGAAGGTAAGTGGTTTGTATACTCTATAAAATGATAATGAAGGGTAGGGGAAAAGGTATTTTTAAAAGAGAACCCATTGTAACTTCACCATTTCATCAGCAGAAACTTATATATTTTTGAAAAATTGTTATAATTCTTGAGTTTATTCCATTGACGATCATAATGTAAAGTTATTTTAAACACAATGGCTTTAAAAGTTTATAAATTTAATTTAAATTGACTAAAAATCTTTCCAAATTCAGGGTACATTTCGAGCTTTTTACTTTAACTTTAAGCCGCACAAAAATATTACATAATGATTTATCATTTATAGTTAACTATCTTAGCAATGTCAGGTTAATTTATTTACAAATGTATAATATTTTTACCCAATTCAATGAATTTTCTTACATACCCCACCCCCTGAAAATAGCAGTGTATCAATTTGTAAACAAAAAACTGGCGCCAGTTGCGTTTTCTTACTAAATTTATTGCTGTTTTTTGCAAATTTTATTTGCGGTTTGCGTATATCGCAGTTTCCAAAGAATTTGCCTGAGAATTCCACATAAAAATCAAAGGCAGTCGTCAACATAGTTGAAATATTTGATATCTATACGAGTTTATATAAATAAATTTTGAATAAATTTGCTAATGGCGCCAGATGTGCCAAGTCATTGGCCGAAAAAAAAAACAACAACGGACAAATGAAAATCAAATGGAATCGAATGCATTCCGAGTGGGAAAATTGCCAACTGATCAACTGCCAGGGTCAATTGCATCCAAATGATTGATATATAATTTGGTTGGAGGGGTGGTTGGAGAGGGGGCGTTGTGATTAGGGGGTGGCGGTGGCAAGAGGAGGCGTGTCAAACAGTTCTGAGTGGCGATAAATGCTGCCAGCTGTTCCGCTCGAAAAACTAGATAGACAGACAGATCGGCGGTGACTATAGTCACCTATGGCCATAAATCTCGGCCAGAATATGTGCACAGCTGTGCGCCCTAGACAAGGCCAACAGCAAAGATCAACTATTCGCTGCATTTTGTGGGCTGCAATTTAAGACCAATTAGCAGAAAGGGTAAACCGCTGATTATCACCTACGGCTGCCTGCTGCAGCTTAATTAAATGCTGCCTCATCTCGACCGCTCTGATATGCATACAGATGGCTATCTCTCTCTATATATATATACACATATATAGATATATATTTTATATTCTAACTAAAAGTTGTCATTCCGTTTGCCTTGCATATATGAGACTCGGATCGTGTTTGCCAGCTGAAAAAAATCGTGTCTAATTTGTAGATTCTCTTGTGCCTTTTTTTCTATTTCACATCTGTTGCCGATGCACTACATCGATAGTCAGATGGATATATATAGATATATATGGATATATTTATGCCGGGGGATTTATAGCCAGCCGTTGCATTAGCATTTGCATTCATAACTCAGCAGATGTAGAAATCCGGCAAAAAGTTTTTGTACATTTGTATGGAGATGTAGAAAAATTGTTGCGCCCGTAAATGACACATATTTGAAATTCGAATTTGCAATTGAGGCATTAGACACTGGTCAACAGGGTTGAGTTTAGATACTTATAAATATATTTACATGAAATTTATTGCTAGTTACTATATAGTAATGTTAAATCAAAGCTTTTAGAAATGATAAGGAAAACTAATAAGATTAAGAATCTCTTAGCTTACTTTCTCTAAAACCCTAACCTATGCAGTCCAGTGTAGCTTTAATCTCATCTGGTCGCAGCTGCAGTTACCCTACCACCTGCTGAACGCCCCCTGAATGCCCGCCCCCCACTTGGCCCCCTTTTTATGTGACCGACCGCACAATTAATGCACGTAGCGTTTGCCAAGTCGACTAATTTCGCAAGTGCCATGGCCCGTTCATAATTACCATGATTTGCGATTTTGCCATCGCACTTAACCCTTTTGGCCAAGTCAGCTAAATTGCCAGCCAGTCAGCCAGTCAGCCAACGCAACGATGTCTATAAGCCAATTGATTGACTAGATCTGGCTGACAGGTCGAGAATTAAGAACCCAAAGATGGGGTAGTAGTGGGTGACTGATGTTAGCCAACATCAGTTCAGATGTGCTCACGAACTGGCTCGGGCCTTACTTTTTTATTTCTATTTTAGACAATTATCAACTTGAACTTGCCTCTAATGTTTATTTATATAAGCCAAATGATCCCAGGCACAGGGGGTTTCGCCACCGCATTCATTAGATAACTTAACCGAACCGGAGATTGTCCCATTAATGAATGCAAAATCGAATAGTTGGTCAAAATCGAATTGGCGTTGGCGTGGGAACATGCTTGTACTCATTCGAGTATATAGAATACCGCTGACCCTGTGACCAACTAATGGATCGTCTGGCCTGGCTGCACAATTGAAGTCTAATTGAAACTAGGAAGTCTAGAAAAAAGGGGAAGTGGATTACATTTCGAGGGCAATTAGCGCGAAGATTTCGTAATAAATCAAAGACAAAGCCTTTATTTCCGACTTCAGTTCCGCGATGCGTGTCCAGCCCTCCGGATCTGGTTTGGTTATGGGTTTTCTTCTTCTTCTGTTTTTAGCCACCGCCTCCACTTGGCAAGGTCGCGAAGCGTGGCCATATCAAGTATACGCAGATGAGTAATGGCCATTAAATGAGTTGTTATACTTGTTACCGCTCTGTGA